TGTCTCTCTTCACCAAGTACTTCTGCTTCTCCCAATGTTGTTTAGCTTTGACATGATGATTCATTCTGTCCAAGGTCTGACTTGTAAGGCTATTCTGAAAACAAGATGTGACAACTCAAAAGTACAGATTAACAGCTACACTGATAATCACCACCCTGATACCCCTTCCCTGTACTACTGAAAAGCTGATCTACAGAACACAAAACCTCTTCAGAAACTGGTGACACATGAAAGCTGGATTCTGCAGGAAAATGGAACTGAGACATAAAATCACATTTGGGGATACTTTGGCACAGTAGGTTATATCCGAACATATGTGAATCTAAATAAGACAGGTGGATGCCATCCTAAAAAAAGGCTACAGAAAACAGAAAGGCATGGAGAGTAGAAGGAGAAAAATAAGAGATCCAGACCTGGAGTTTAATAAAAGGTACTCAGGGGACTTGAGAAAAACAAAACAAAACAAAACATGACTTGTACTTGATGTCAGGACACATTCTTCAGCGCTCTTACTGCGGGGGTCAGAGGAGACTGCTTAGCTAGAGAAACTGCTGAAGAAGCTTAAGGTGATCTTCAGTATTCGCTGTACCTACTGCATTGCTGGTATCCAGAGAAGAAGGTAAAAGCACAACTAGATAATGAAGAAAAGGAGGTTTCAAAGCCAGAAGATGTTCAAGCAGTGAAATGTAACAAACAGTCTCTGCTTTAAAATGCGAGCTATTTACCTGCTGAGACTGAGGTTAGCATGATGGATAAAAAGAGCTTTAAACTAAGGGCAAAGGTTTCATTTTTATATCTTGCTTAATATCTAGAAGGAAAAAAAATCAGCTAAAGGGGGACAGAGCAACCAAAAACAATAATGAGAAAGAAAAATGCTAACATAATGAGAGGAGTCAGGCAGATGACAAGAGTCAAGGAAAAGGACTACTGTAGGTATGAAATCAAATGAGATTGATGTGAAACAGTTCAACTGATTGTAAACTAAGGAAGAAGAGAATTCAAACTCCTTTTATTTGCTGTCAGAATTTTGTTGTCTTCAGATATGAGAAAACATTTTCAGCAGTACTTACACAACTGAAATGAATCTGTCTTAAGTGCTGAAGATGTTTCTTAAAAATAAGGTAGGTTCCTAAAAATCAATCAGACGCTATTTTACTAAATATATTTCTTAAGTATAATCAAATGGCTTTACAGCTTCTTGGCTGTGTGTCATATAAAGGAACATTTATCCCCAGTGGTCTTTACACTTGCCTAAAACAAGCCTTTTTAATTAAGCACATGCAAATTGGAACTTACTGTGCCTGTACACATCTGTGTACATTACGAACACATCTGCAACATATATGACTACTACTCTTTCAAAGTAACTTAACATAGACTGCAAATAACAGGAGAGTTTACACTTCCCTGACCATGTAACACAACCATAAAACCACCATTTCATATCACTTTTGTGCTATAAATAAAAAACTGAATGAATTTTTTCCCAAGTGCTTGAAACACAAGTCTCAAATCCCCAGCAGAAATATCCACTTAAGATTTGCACGAATACCACTTCTGTTTAATCCTCATACCAAAATCACAATTCTTCATCTCCTCTGGAGATATCCACAAATCTCTATCCAATCTCTGTAAGATAATATGGCAAAAGTACTCAGTAGAAAATTAAGCTTCTGTAAAGAAACTTGTCTTCATTTTCGCAAGTACTAAAAACATTTCAAAACCCGGATTAAAAATATACGCAAGTTATATCTTCCAAATAGCTTTAGTTCTTCTAATTAATTCAGTTACACACATATATTTATAACTTGCTTTCAAATTCTAATAAACTGAATCTCTAACATACCACAACTAAAGAATCTTTGAAGTATATACTGTGAGAAATGATATAAAGATAACAGATACAGTATTGCAAATATATATTTGCATATAAAATAGATCAGGACAACATTATACTAAATTATATAGTATTACTACAGCAAAAAATCTATTACTTTTTCCAGCTACTAGCCCAGCAAGCTTGACAGGGGAAATGAGTATCAATCCGTATTTCCTCCTTCCTTGTTTTCATTCCTAGAACCTAGAATAAAGTCTCCTTGTCAAATCTCAGTAACAGCTATAAAACTTGTTGCTTTCAGTGGCTTTACAAGGTATTTATAACTGACTGTGCTTTTGTAAGTAATTAGACCTTAATGTGTAATTCTATTTATAGATGAAGAAGAAGTTTTGTGAAGAATTTTTAGTATCTATTGCAAAAATCCAATCTCTTTACTAAAACTTATAAATAATAAAACTGTAAAATAAGTTTTCACTAATTTAATTTAATCTGTCTCTGAAGAAATGCAGAGCAGACCCGCTGTGCAAAACCGTAGCCATCTAATTTGTTCATGTTAGCGCAGAATCACTCAGGATTCAAGATGTTCATTTAGTTTTCTCCTACAAGTTTTTAGTGCAACACCAAAAATCAATAAAACACCTTAATTGTAAGAATTGAAAGATTTTTAACCCGAGTCTCATGGCACGTCATGCAAGTATAGTATTATTTTCATGACTTTGTTTTAGAAATAGATTTTGTTAAGATAATGCAAGTGTTTCACCATTGTAAAGGTCTTCTAACACGTCTTGGCAGCGGAAAAGCAATCAGAAAGATTTGGAACAACCCAAAAGTTAATGCACTTAAATGATCAATATATATAAGCCAGGATTCCCAATGTGAGGTGATAAACTACCTAAAAAACATGAGACAGCAACAGTAATAGCGCCTCATTAGGTCTTCAATCTGCTTGCCTTGCTTAGGTCAGTTTTTTGTGGCACTCAACAGAAGTATAGGTGTACTGTACTATTCGCGCAGTTTGAATGTTTACTATATGTGAGTGATATTTGTTAATGAAATGCCTGTTCCAAAACAATGTTGTGCTTCAGAATATGCTGTCATTTGAATTTTTTCTTAAAAAGAAAAGCCTTTTAAACTTGCAGTAACAACAAAGAGATTTAGCTTCTATGTAGAAACTGGTATCAAACTTTTTAATTAAAGGAATAATTTCAAATATTCTAATCTTTATTTCTACATCCTGAGATACTATTAATGACCACCTTGAAGATCTCAGTGTTTTGCAATGCCCCTTAGAGAGGCTTAAAGTCTAATCTGTACCAGCTATGAGTTTTATATAAAGACCGAAAGAGTTATCAGTCTAATTGTTCTCAGCTGAAGAACCTTGTGCAACAAATCAACATCATAAAGAGTAATTTAGTTGCTCAAGGGTTGCAGACTACTTCTACTTGCTGAAATAAAAAGTATTCACAGCATTTTAGTCTGTCTTTAGAATTGTATTTTCCATTGTTTTTCCAATAAAGCTTTATGAGCTTAGAAAATGAAGTGCACATTCAGCTGTGGTACAATTCTGGCCCATGATGACTTAAATAATTCACATGTAACCTGGTCTGATGAGTGTGAACATTTTATTACAATATGAAAACTGTTTTTATAATATTGGTCCTGAACAACAAAACACTGGATTTGCCAAAATTGCCATTAGTTAGAGCCAGATTTTCAGATGAGATGTTCTAGAACTTCTGATAGAATTACCAAGTGGACTAACAGATTTTTCTCTGTGCACCCACTTCCCAGGAAAACTCTTTTTTTTTCCTTTATCCCTTCTCAGGTAAGGATAAGGACAATGTACCTCTTGGTGACAGCAAAAAAAAAAATCCGAAACTGAAAGTGAGAAAAGGAAGAAGAAAAGAAAATAAGGAAAAAAATTAAATCTCAAAAGCCAGCAAAGTGCAAAATGATGATGGACACTGCGCCAGGTTAAGAGGTATATTTCTAATATGGGGCACGGCAACTTCACTAGAAATTATGGCAACCTAGTAGCCATAAGAAGAGAAAAAGCTGAGAAATAGGAACATTTATGAAGATTAATCAATTAGAGCCACTTTGGAGGGAGCTGACACATAATTTGACACTTCCCACTTTCCATTTAGCTTGGAAGAGGCTGATGTCTGAAACTACAGCTCTACTTACCTACTTGTTTTAGAAAGAAATCTGTATCTAAATTATGCAACATGGAATCTCCACTTTTATAACTTCACACATACAGTATGGAAAAGGAAGCATTCTTTTCTCACCGAAATCACAGAATACTGAAAAAGTGAAAGATGATGAAGTGTTTGAAAACCAAAGGAATGATTCCAAACACAGTTTTATAAAGAGATTGCAAATCTTCTACATTAGAAGAAAAACAATATGCACCTACTTTGTGAATCTGCCCCAGACAACTGCAGTGCTATTCACGCCTGTCCAGATAGACCTGTGCCGCAAACCCCACTTCCAAAAATTTGACGTTTCGAAAAGATTTTTTTTTTCTTTAAATAGGAAATATATCAAAAGAAAAGAAATACAAAACTAATCTTCTAGACAAAGAGCAGGAAGAAAACTGTCACGTTCTCTGGTTTACATTTATAACAGGACTCTATCTAGAGATTAGAATAGTTTCAAATCTATTGTAGTTGAGGATATGATGTCAACATTTAAGGGACGCAGATAATTTAGTCCACAATATCTATTCATACCAACAACAGAAAGCAAAAGGGGGGATGCAGAATACTTTCATACCCTACTCTCCTGGATTATTCCTATTTTACATGTATTCATCATCCATGTAAGCGTGTATAAGTAGTCGTTTTATTTTTCCCCCAAAGCCACCTGCTAGTTAACTTTTGTAAAAGCACAACTGATTTCAATTCCATTAGATGCATACATCGGACTGACCGATTTTCTCTCTCAGCAATTTCTGAATTTTCTCTGAAGCTTATTTTTAAAATACTGAACATGATAGTTAACACACTCTGTTCACATGATGTTACATCATTTTTCATTACTGATTAATGAAAACCCCAGGAATTTGCTACAGAAAAGCTGAAGAGACTATCAGGTTTGCAAAAAATAAAGTAATAATCAACACAGAAAATATTCAAAGTCAATTAATTGGTCTTCTTACCTTGTTCTTTTATCTGACGAATTTGCTTCACAGTTTCTTTCAAGATTGCACATTTGTCAGGTTTAAAGTTAAAGTTGTCAATATCATTAAAATTTGCAAAAATCAGCTCTGCAAGTTCTTCTATGTATTTATTCTCTTGCTCACGATTGCGTTTCTCAGTGCTTCTTTTAGGACTGAAAGAGAAGTTTATAAAAATGTCATATTTAATGTCAGTTTGCTTGCATTCTGGCCAGCTCAAAGATTATTTCAAATGGTTTGAGAATAGTCTAACAAAACCAGAGAGAACTGCCCTCTCTCACCACAAAAAATGTAACTTACAAGTTTCTCAAGCAGAAAGGTTTCCTCTGGAACAAGGAAAGGAGCATTAAAAAAGACATTAGTTATTTTTTCCCCAACAGTCGTGTTTTTGTTTCAAAAGACGTTTGGGATTTGAAATTGAAGACAGAGGATTAATTGGGGGGGTGGGATTTGAACATCTTCAAGTGTCCCTCCACATGGTGTTGAAAATCCAAGTAGTATCATATAGTGACAGTGTATGAGAAAATAAAACAGCTTAAAAAGTTAAACCAAACAATCCATACTCCCTGCCTCCTTGTGAAATTACAACAGACAGTCGTAAGAAAAAATGCTGAATGAGTGATTATACTTTAAAATTTATTTGTGTTGGTAATGCAAATGCTATAAAACTGGAAAGTATTTTTCAAGTCCCTGATCATGACATACAAGAGAGGTGCTAAAAAAATCTTAGATTGCCAGATGAGTGACTGAAGACTCCTTGCAGTGATTAGCCAAAAAAGATTTTTACGTAGCTCCTATATTGTCACCAAAATTCTGTATTTTGGCACTACACTGGATTCAAAACAAACAAACAAATAATAACACAAGACAATACCCCAAACCCGCCATCCCAAACCCACCACAACACAGAATTACTGAATCAGAGTAGTTTGCTACTGACTTCTCTTTGCAAGAATGGCAAGTTTGTCATTTTCTAACTGAAAAATATATGCACATGTAACAGTTTTTTTAAGTCTTTCACTTTTCAACGTCTTCAGGCATAAATGGTCTAACCTGGGTCCAAGCTGATCGGGATCCTTGCGCTTTCTTGACTCTGCCCTGGATGGGTCAGAGGTATTTTCTCCCATCCCACTCATCTTGAATACATATCAGCAACTAAAAGGAAGAAAGTGCAAGAAAGGGTTATGGTGGAAGAGTCATGAGTACTTTGTTCATATTTCTAAGTTTCTTGTTCCATGCTAAACTCAGTTTTTACTTGGCAAATCTATCATTTGAAATAAGAGTTTGTTTGAAAGGTACCAATAAAACTACTGTGTTTACGACCACACAAATACTATACAAAACTCCTTCGGAAGAAAATTTGTGGTGGGCAAGGACAGTGTTGTCATCTTTTTGATCGTTACCAGTTATGTAAGACCAGGTAAGTACATTTTGTGCCTGGGTTGCTGAAGTTTCATGGCAATTTTGCAAGGTTGAATGAGGAAAGACAAAGGGAAAGCCATAGTGCCATGCAACAAGAAAAACACAACAGAATTGAAATACATGTAATGAAACATGTATCCCAGCTACATGAAAAGGTAGCACATGCAGTTTTAGTTAAAAATCAGAAGATAATGCTTGCAAATGTACATGTACAATATCAGAGAAACAGAATGCTAGACATCGCTGAGGAACTGATAAATATTTTGTACATATAGTCTACTTCATAAGGAGAATAACTTGTCAAGCTATCGTGTTAAAACAACACAAGCTTATTATAATTTGTGCAATAAACAGCCCGTGGAAGTCCTGCCCAGCTCCTGGCCGTCTGTTGTCCTACGCACTGTAGGAGCACATGAACCTTGCTTGCCCCAGATTACATACTCCTCAGCAAATACAAATATTCTAGAGGCAGAAAACACAAAGGGCATAGGGAGATGATGTAAATGATCAAAAAGCTCATGCAATACAGGGCAGTCCTAGCTCACCATCTGCCTAGCTGCTGCCAGTTTTGTAAGGCTGATGGCAGAGGGATGTTGCCAGACGTTTCAGAGAGCGCCTGTATTGTTTGGGATTAGCAGAAAAATAAACATGAGGGCCATGAAGGAGGTGAGTGTCTCCAGGAGGTGATTCATACCATGCTAAAATAAGAGCTGGAGCCCGTCATTCCACAATCACTTCACACCAGCGTAAATCTTGGTCTGGTATTAAAACAAGGGGATCCACCAGCTCCTCCAAGCCCTTCATTTCTGCCCCACCAGTTCCCTTCCCTCTGCTGGCCAGGTCAGCCATGCACTGAACTCCATGAGGGAACTGCTGTGGGTTAAAACTGTGGTCCCCTTCTCATTTACTTTTTATTTTTGACACTGTGTAAAATCTAGCAGCCAGAGCTTGTATTGGTAATAGGATGTTCACACTGGAAATCTTAGTTTTCGCAGTGAACTGGCTGAATGAAGCTATGGGCAGAAACAGCCTGGAGACTGAGATCCAAGCAGTTCTGCAGGGATGCTGAGAAAGGCTACTTATTGAAAGATGAGCGAGCAAATGAAGACTCGGAGCTGTCCCAGATTCAGAACTGAACACAATCTAACATTTTCTGAATACAAAAACCCCCAAAACCCCTGGAATAAAAATTCCTTTCTTTGTACTGAAAATATTTGCTTTTTAACCAGTTTGAGGAGAAAGCGGAGTCATTTCCTTTTTTGAGATACTGGTCAAGTTTCACAAAAAACACTAGATCATCCCTGAAATATATAGCTCCCAGCTGGTCTTGGACATGCATGGTATCAGACCCTATTCGAAAAATACTTGGCTTATCTTTTTATCAATTATGTCTACACACCCATATGCATATCTACATGTACATACATACTGCCAACGTTTTGAGAACAACCCACTTCAAGAACAAGGCGGCCCTGGTTCCGCAGCAGAGCAGAGCTGAGCCCTCAAAGGGAAGATGTACCGTCACAAACTCCATCGTTCTGTACTTGCCAGGGAACTCCCGGTGATCTCAGTCAGGGCATTCACAGATTCACAGTGCCGAACCAAAGCCAACCTTCCTGCAGAGCGTGAAACATCTACCGCAGTCTCCAGTGTGGACTGTGACACCGGCTGTTCCTTAACAACTACATATCTTCACTGATTTCTAGCCCCAGCAGTCATTCACATCCTAATTTATCTAAATACAAAAGTAGAAATATACATCCCTCTCACTGGTCAGGAGCTAAGCACTTTCTTGAAAATATGCAATTTCACAAGTATCCCAAGTAGAGCTCCAAGGAAGGAGCAAGAGGCTATTAAGAAAACTGTGACAATAACTAAAGAGAAGTTGTGGGGAGACAGCAGTTCCACGTCTCTGTCAGTGGAGAGCTGGAACTGTCCTCAGGGCTCTGTTCCAATGACTAAATTTTTCACTGACCGGTGTGAGAAAAAATCTTCAGCATGACGAAAGCTGTACATTCCCGAGATCATTTGATCTCTGAGCCAGACTCAGATGGTGACCTAAAGTTCAGAATTAAAATTAGGCTGGGGAATCCCTTCGTTTCTTATGCTTCCCAAGTAATACCTCAGAAATATAAATCAGTTAACTATTTTTATTGAGAAAAGCAAGCACAACAATTCATGAAAACCTGTCAAACATTCAATGGTCATCTTCTTCCCCAAGAGCAGTAAGAATTAAAGTCAGAGGCAAGCATTTAGGGGGAACAAACAGCACCCTCCACTCCCCTTTCCTCCCCAAGAAAGCAAATAGGAACAGTTATTGACAGTTTTCCCACCTACTTTGTCAGGCTTACTTCAAAGGGAAGTTTATTTTTGCAGGAACCAAAGTTTCACTGGTAGGTCCAGCAATGCATAGCTCAATTCTTCTTGCAGTCACACTGATGCTATTCTGTAGGAATTCCACTAGGTCTATGGTATCAGCCTTCAGAGGACACAGTAAAACTAACCTCCCACCATAAACATCTAAACTTCATCCTTCCGTATTTAAGGGAACCAAAGTGGTACCATCATTATGAAACTAGCACCTTCTTCTCTCTTTATTAAACATAGTAAATGGTTCTAAACAATTTATTTATTTATTTATTTTGCACTTACAGGCCATTACATCTTTTTCTCAGCAGCATTATCAGTTTGTTCTTAGAATGAGTTACCCATTTCTTCTTACTCATCATAAAGTTTTTCTGGAAATCTACCACCTACTACCATGTTTGCTTTCTGCACTCCCCTATGTCTTCACTAAAAATCACATTCTATACCTCAAAGACCTGTATAGGCTCTGCAGCTCCTGTGTTGTCAGTGCCTGTGCTCCACAGCAGAATGCAAAATCCAGAGTTAGGTACCTTGGAAAGTGGAGAGCTAGACAGACAATACTAAGGCAATCTAAAAAAAGTCTCGCAGGCCAAAATGGAAGTCACTCAGCAGTATCTAGTACGCAGTACTAAAATCAAAAGGATGTGCCCCCAAACCCTATCTCCCTAGGGATTTAGGGACTGACTAGGATAGGTTAGGTTAAGTTCTGCTATTCTCTTGTGATTCAGAGACTAAAATTGTCTCCTGAGTTAGCAGAAATGAGGAGGAATCACGTTTTAGAAGCTGTGGATAGATAAACTGCTGCCCTGCTCTTCCATGATACCACATACCAACTAAAACCACCAGAAACTGGGTGATGGAGATTCAGTTCCCTTTCCACAGAGGGGTTTCAAGCCTGTACTTTTCATCACGCAGCACAGTCTCCTAGGTGGTAGGCTATCTGTTTGCCAAAACTGGACATTGATAAAGCAAAGAGGGCAAGGTCAATTAACTCTTGCGGTGCAGTAGGAATCTTTAGGTGTCTAGCCCATACCACTAAACTCACAGGTAAGTAGTTCAAAGACTGTCTTAAGATACAAGGGATTGAGGTGTGAATCCCCTTAGGCTGAGGAGGGTAGCAAACCTGTATCTCCCATTTCTCAGTGATGACTATTATTAGATGAAGATCTCTGGAGGGTCTTAGGTACCTCTTCAAATTTAATGCGGCATAAGCAAGGAACTAAACCCACATTTTTCAGAAGAAAGTACTTCTGGGTACATGCAGTACAAAAGAGCAGGCACCTAGGAAACTTTCAAGTGAGAAGGGGAAAACCTCATGAATTTAAATTGAACTGACTGATGAATTTTAGACATACAAACACACATCTGTGGGTCAGGAATGGCTAAACTGCATATAGGGCTTTTTAGGTTCTGCTGTAACTCCCTCCATTTATCCATCTCAGAATATCTTGGTTATTCATTATTACTAATAGTTTTATAGTACACAAAAAGTCATGACATTAAATAAATCAATATTTTTAAAAAGATAATTTAGGAACTCTTAAAATTGTTCTAAATACTCTTAAGGGTCCTGAACCACATGGTTGGCTCCTCAGACCAGAAAATAAAACTCCCAAACTTGAAGTCTGAATTTTTCCAGGAAATATGACAATTCAAAACTGAAGCCACTGCGAGTACAATGACAAGTGATAGGCTCAAAGTTTTACTCCAATAAACCTCCCCTATAGCGAACTACCTTAGATTAGAAAGCAGCATTCATCCTGCTCCTCTGATCTTTTTATTCATCTCTGCAGGAATTTCCAGAAAGAAGAAAGATAAAGAAATTGAACAGTTCGGTTCATTTAGTGCTTTAGAAGAAATGGAAATGTAATATCAGCTCTACCATATGTCTTCTGAAAACAAAAATCAAGAAAAAGTGGGTATGGCTTATTTAGCATGGTATAAAATAGGAAAAGGATTAACCAAATTGGGAATTAGTAAAAACAAATCCAGCAGTAATCACTGCATTGAGGAGAGAGAGATGGAGACATATGTTTGTTAACGAAAAAAATACCATCATGATATGTCAGATGCTGAACTAAACCAATTTTTATTTGAAAGAAAATGTCTTACAAAGCTGAATTTGAATGTGTGTCTTGCAGAATGAACTGTCATGCAAGACCAGGAACTGCTTTTTTTTATTGTGTAAGTTGTTTGGGAGCTGTACTGCACTCCAAAATACAAACATAATATCCCACTGTGGGATTAGTATTTTGCCTTCAGTGGTAGTAGCAGATTTTTCTTCTCAATATAAATTAAGGTTTTTTCCATTTGTCCTACAAAAAACCCTACAACAATAACCAAGAGCTGAAATTCTAATGCTGACTCAGATGCCCCTCAAGC